TCTCTTAATGTATTCCGCCACAGCTCCCGGTGAAGTGATTGGGAGCAGCAGCATTCAGAGAGCAGCAACACAGGAGCAAGCGCCCCAATTTCCGCCCTTTAAGCTCAAGTGCTAATTCGAGGTCTTTCACTTTTCTCCCTTCCTCTGGGCGTACGCATGGCGACGTGCTACGACCCTCCTCTCCTCGAGCAGCATAGCATGCGAGAGGGGCGAATGGCAAGGGCAAAGCACCCTAACCATTTTGGCTCAAGCACCCGATCGCTACTGCAGTGATGGAAAAAAACAGCGATCACCATCCCTCAGACTGGTAAACGCCATACCAGATCTGATCCTTGGGTGGACCACGAGCGCTACCTCAAACGCGTCCGCGTGAGCGTGGACTCGCACCTCCGGGTGCACTTCGTTCTGCCATTGAATCCTAAACTTGATCATCATTTTCCAGTCAACTTAGACCAGGTGTGGGACTACCTGCGCAAGACAGCAGACAGGGAGGATTTGATATCAGAGCTGAGCGAGGACGAGAGCTAGACTCACATAGCTCTCACAATCCTGAACGCTTGCATCGAGAGTGCGGGGGGCAAGTTCATGCGCAAGCGCGCTCGCGCGCGCGTCGAGGCCGTCGGGGCGCAGAACTCCGCGAAGGACATCGTGGTGAGTGCGATCGCGAAGCGGAGGGGGTCCGCCAAGATGCCGCTGGACTGGTGCGACTCGATCAAAGGCGAGCCCCAGTCGCAGGAGCTGCCAAACGACATTATTGCAACTTTGCTAGCGTCCCACAAGAGCGTGATCGAGGCGGCCAAGAACCGAACGTGGAGGGAGGAGGTGGAGAAGGGGGAGAAGGAGGAGGAGAAATGAGGAGGAGGAGGGGGAGGAGGATGGGGGGGGGGGAAGAGCGAAGAGGAGGGGGGGGGAAGGGGGGGGGATGAGGCGGGAGGAGGAGGAGGTGGAAGGGATGAGGGGGGCGAGAAGGAGGCGGGGGATGACGACCAGGCGGGGGGGCGGGGGGGGCAGGAGGGGGGCGAGGGCGAGGGGGGGGGGGGATCAGGGGGGCGAGGGCGAGGAGGGCGAGGGGGGGCAGCAGGAGGAGGGGGAGGTGGTGGAGGAGGGGGAGGCACAGCAGGAGAAGCGTCGCCTTCGATAGGCCTGCCCGCCCCCTTCCCCCCCCCCATCGCCTCGCTTCCGCGGCAGGGGCTGCGGCGCCTCAAGCCCGTGCAGAGCGTCTGGCCGGCGAGTTTCCCATCGGACATCAACTGCGCGGCTGACGTTGCGATGCGGCTCTTCTTAGCGGACAGGGTCGATTACTCAACTGATGCGCCGGGGGTGCAGACCGGGGGGCCCAGCTGGAAGGAGCTCGGAAGTTCGGTGAATTCCTTCGCTCGGTGGGAAGAAGCCTTCGGTGGTGTCTCTTACGGGACGGAGGAGGTGCCGAAGTCTTGGTCGGACGTCGCCCCAGGACCTCGCGTGGCCGTTCAGCTGGTGAAGACGATCGACGAGCTCATCCGGCTCCACCAGCCTCAAGAGGAGTCGATGACTCTCAGTGATGCTTGCGACAAGATGTGCATCTGCAAGAAGTTCAGTAGAGATGGGACACCGCCCGTGATCACTGAATACGTCGCAGCTGCGGACCCGCCGACCCATGCCAACGTCCTTCCGCAAATGGTGCAGGCGCTTTCCCTTCAATCACTCGGCCAGGCATTGCGCGCCCACGCGTTGCGGGACATCGTGGCAGCCCTCAGGTCCAGGCAGCGTGCGACGAGTTGCAAGCGATGTTCACCGTCGCGGGGACTGTCGCCGCGAAGCCGTGCGAGATCACGTTCCGGAAGGCGGAGCTCATTCCAAAGTGCGCGGCCGGCGTGCAGCATGTTACGGGCACCCTCCTCAAGTTTGCTGCTTCTTGTGGTGATGGTCTCTCGGGGCAGCAGCTCGTCTCCATCAAGGACATCTTCGCGACTGTGAGGGCCATCTCCGAGATGATAGCAGTGTTCAACCCGATTGTCCACGATGCTGACAAGCGCCGTGCATCGCGCGCTTTGGTCGACAAGGCGATGGCGGCGCGAACGCGCGCCCGCAGTCTTGCAGAGAAGCCCCCGCAGCCAACGTTGTTCTTCCCTGCGAACAGTGACCTGGGGTGCACTCTCTTGGGCGGACTCTTCGTCTCGGTCTCGGTCTCGTCGGAGGTGGCCCGCCAGGCCGACGCCGCCATCAAGGATGTCATCGATGCGTGGGTCGAGGGCGGAAACGCGCTGAGCGCCGCGACGAAGTCGTGGCGCCCCAAGGATTGGTAGTGGACCAAGGAGAACCACAACGCTGGCGATGCCCTGACGAACGCCGACATGCGGAGCAGCTCCCTCGGGAACATGAACTGCCCTAAGCTCGGCCCCTGCGCGGGCATCCTGCTCGACATGTGCGCGAACCTCAAGGCAGGGTCGAGGGGGCAGCAGATAGGCGAGGGCGAGGAGGGGGAGGGAGAGGAGAAGGAGGTGGAGGAGGAGGATGGGAAGGAGGACGAGGAGGAGGAGGAGGAGAGGAGGAGGAGGAGGAGGAGGAGGAGGGAGGAGGAGGAGGAGGGAGGAGGAAGAGGGGGAGGAGGAGGGAGGAGGGGGGGGAACGAGGAGGGGGAGGAGGAGGAGGAGGAGGAGGAGCAGGGCAAGGAGGAGGAGCAGGAACATGAGGATGGGGGCCACGACGACTGGTCCCCCTGATAATTTCCTCCTCCTCCTCCTCCGGCTGCCCTCGTCAGCTCGATGCTCTCGTCGTCGTCGTCGCGGACCTCCCTCCTCCTGCTGCCTCTCCTCGTCCTCAGCCTTTCTTCGTTATCCTCCTCGCCCCCCCCGGGGGGGGGGGGGGGTCCGGGGCCGCTCCGCCTGAGGCGGTCAACATGAGCGGCATGCCGCACCTCGTCGGGGACGAGGTCTTCTCCGCCTGGACTGAGATCGCTGAGAGCAGCAACGAGCTTGCGGTTTGCACGTTCATGCGGCATTTAATTTGCGAAGAGCCGCCCAGCCTGAAGGACCGTGCGTTCCGCAAGGCCGAGGTGGGCAAGGCCCGCGCGGACCTCAAGGCCTCGGGCCGCGTCGCCCCGGAGGCCTTCGAGGCGCCCTTGCTCGCCTTGCGCGAGGACGGCGATGGCCAGCGATGCGCCCGCCGCCCGCCTGTCGTTCAGATTCCGTTGACGCTGCTCCCAGAGGCCCTTTAGGACTCCGCATTCCCCGAGGCCGTCAGAGGGCCGCGGATCCTGTCGTGGCCGCCCTGGTCCCACTTCAGAATTCGAGTGGCCTTGGGGGGCCCAGTCAGGTCCAGGGCCGCAGAAGGGGGGCGGCGGCATCGGCGCGTTGGCTCCTCGCGCCGCGCGGTCAGGTGCTCGCGCGGGCACGCGGGCTGCGGGGGGGCCGCGCGTGGGGTGGCGGGAGGTGCCGCGCGCAATCAATATGACTTCAGATTGTGCGTCGTGTGCGTGGCGATGCAGAACGAGTGGAAGAGCGCCTCGCCCTCGCCCCTCATCGCTGCAGAGGAAGAGGAGGAGGGGGAGGAGGAGGACGACGACGACCAGGGGGGGGAGGAGGAGGACGAGGAGGGAGAAGGGAAGAGGAGGAGGAGGAGGAGGAGACGAGGAGGAGGATTAGGAGGCGGACCACGAAGACGACGGTGACTGGCCCGCCTTTTTTCTTCTTACCTTCTACCTTCTCATCTTCCCGCTGCCCTTCTCATCTTGCCTCTCCTCTTCGTCCTCGTCGTGGACCTCCGCCCTCCTGCTGCTCGTCCTCGCCCCTCCGGCCTCCTTTGTCATCATCTTCATCTTCTTCACCCCCTCTGAAGGGTCATGATCGTCGGCGTCCGCTGCCCCCTTTCGCCAGGCACCCCAATCGGGGCCAGCTTTCACGGAATTGACACGCTGGCCGCGCACATCCAAGATCCAAGGCCTTCGGCCAGAGCCTCGGGCTCACCGTCAGACCCAGGGGAGATGCCCAGGCGAGCTGCCTCGATCACTGGAGCGTAGCAGCATCAGCAGCATGCGTGCTGCATGCTGCATGCAGTGTAGCCGCAAGAGAGGCTCCGAGAGGGGCCCCAGATTCCAAGAGGACCCCAGCGGGCCTTCAAGCCCAAGAGGCTCCAGGAGGGTTCCACGAGGCTCAAAGTGGGCCTCAAGAGGGCCCCAGGGCCTCCAAAGATGGCACGTGAAACGTATGCGTTGGGATTACTGTTTTTTTTTGTAGTTTTTGAAGTTCTCCTTGTTAAGTATTGCTTATCAGCATTATTAGTTATTGTTAATTATTATTTTTTGTTTTCTCGTTTCGAATGGTTTTTTGTTCGAATTGTCGTTCTCCGAATTTTCGAATTATTGTAAATATTGTTTTGGAGTTGTTGTTAAAATCCTTACTGTGGTTCCTCGTCCTGCTCAATGTATTTAATGGGCGTTTCGGACCCTCGGAATCCGGTGGAAGAGCTTTTGGAGGCCCACATGATACTTCCGGAAAGCCCCCAATACCTTCAGGCAGGAAGGGACAAGGGAAGATATTGTTCGCCCTATTTGGGCGTCCTGATCGGATTGCAAAGGGGGGGCTTTCGCAGAAGGCAACCCGCCTCTCAAGAAACTTTTCTGTTTGCACAACGGGCTGCCACGGTGCAAAATCCGCCGTCGTCATCGACGATCGGGGACCGAATATTAATGGTTTCGGGCGCTTCGGGCTTCCCAGAGGCCTCCCAGATAGGGGCGATCCTCTCTGAGAAGTCCCCCTGCCTTATCAGAAGGCCACCCCCCTACCCCCGACCACAGTCAGCTCCAGGCCAACCCCCTGGACCGGCCCCGACCCCCTCCCGGGTGTCTGTCTTGGCCAGCTCTTCGAGCGGCGCACAGCCGTGGCCACAAAGACCCTTCAACAGGAGGCACAGAAATGGCAAGAACATGATATACCTTGTCTTCTTTTGTCGAAGAAAGAAGAAAAAGTATACCCTCCTCTTTCGAGTTCTGCAGAGCTGCCCCCTTTGACGTGCCCGCCAAGGTTCCCCGAGCAGCTCCTGGCCATCCGGCGGCTGGCGGCCAGTAGGATCGAGGAGCAGTGCCTGGCGCCGAGGTCGGTCGCAGGCGTGGAGCTCTTCCGCGACGCGCCGGCGGAATTCGTCGATTTCGTCGACAGCCACACCCGGCACTGGACCTTCTTTCACGACGATGCCGTCTTGGAGGAGGGAGCGGAGGCTTCCTCCTCCTCCTCCTCCTCCTCCTCCTCCTCCTCCTCCTCCTCCTCCTCCTCCTCGACGGCCCCCCAGAGGCAGCCTTGGCAACCACGCGAGCCTTACCCCTAAAGGTCGATTTTCTGAAATTCTGGCAGGGATCGGAGGGCATCATAGTTTTAAACACGCAGCAAACTGAGCCTAAACAGGGGTGTCCGATACATACTTCAACGCCCGCGGGAGTAGGGCGCGAGGGGTCGTAGATGGTCCCGGCTGGCTTCAGCAGGCCCTGAGGGTGGCCTTTGATCGTTTCAGCACATGTGCGCCGCCTTTGGCTCTTCCTGCGCCGTGTCCCTGCGCAGGGGTGTTGAGGGTCGAGGCCGCTCAGGGCCACCCTCGTGGCGTGTTGAGGCCAGGGTTGTCTGTACGCAACCCCAAGTGCTGCCACTCCTCCTCCTCCTCCTCCTCCTCCTCCTCCTCCTCCTCCTCCTCCTCCTCCTCCTCCTCCTCCTCCTGTTCCTCCTCCTCTTGCTTCTCCTCCTCCATCTTCTCCTCCTCCTCCTCCTCCTCCTCCTCCACACCCTTTTTCCTTACGCATAATGGTTCCCTGCCTGCCACGGTCCTGGAATGTGACATTTGCAATTGATTCAATATGGAGGGCGATGCGTTTTCGAAATGTGGCTTTCGCCGTAGAGCCGCGCACATTCGTTCTGAGGGTTCGCAACAGCTTCAAAGATGGAGGGCGGCCCGTTTTCAAAACGTGGCTCTCGCCGTAACGCCGTTTTAAAAACTTGCAGCAGATTCAAGGACGGGGAGCGGATTCGTATAGTTGAAGTCCCCGGGATGGTATTCTGGACCGATGTAGGGTTGTCAGGACGCAGCGGTCAGCTGATTCGCGATGTTGGTATCCCAGGAATAGTGTTCTGGCACGATCCACGATTGTCAGGACGCAGCAGTCGCTTTGATTTTCTTTTGGCACGGTTGCAGATTTTCAAACGATTCTCTTCCAATGGGGCACTTCCCGCCATATACAGATATATATATATATATACACAACTGTGTATACATATATATATATATATATATAATATATATGTATACACATATTTTTGGTAGGCGCTGATGACAAGGGGAATTTGGAGGGATGGTTTCTTGAAACATCGTTGATGCGTCTTGGGTTTGCACGGGTCCTCTTCTTCCTCGTCCGTCTCCTGGTCTTCCTCCCTCATTGCCCTGTTTCTCCTCCTGCTGCTCCTCCTCCAGGGGAACCACCTCATCGTCCTGCTGGGCGGTCGCTTGCAGGTGGAGAAGGATGGAAAGGTATTGGCGTCTTTGGCCCAGGGAAGCGTGCTCGGAGAGCTGGCGGCGCTCGGCTTCACGGAGAGGCGCTCCGCGACGGCACGCTGCATCGGCCCCTGCCAGGTTTCGCACCGTTGCGAGGAGGAGGAGGAGGAGGAGGAGGAGGAGGAGGTGGAGGAGGAGGAGGATGCGGATGAGGAGGAGGAGGAGGAGGAGGAGGAGGGGGAGGAGAAGGAGGAGGAGGAGGTCCGCGGCCATCTTGGCTCAAGGCTGAACGTTGTGATGGGCTATAGACGCCCGAATCAGCGATTAGTTTTGGACCCGTCCGTCTCCCTCCTCGAGCAATTGGGTTCACCAACGATCCTGCTGCGAGGCTGCCCAGACAGCAGTAGCCATTCCAGTTTCTTCAACAGTGACGTTTCGGCACAGCGTTCTGCCCACGCGGGCCTCTTCTGCTGCAGATCAGCGGATGATGCTTGGCGATGGCGCTCGTGTGGAGACCGTCAAGTCGCGTTCGCCGTGGTAACCTGGCTAGCGTGGTGGGCGCCCACAGGCACCTGCTTCTCCTGCTGGCACTGGTCCGCTTCATGGCCGCAGTGACCCCTGGAGTGGTGTAGGAGCGGCCGCGGCTCGTCAACCTGGTACCGCTTCGAGCCAGGTTCCCGCCGCCACGCCTGATGCCAATGGGCGAGAGCTGCGGGTGAAATGGACAACTTCGTCGACTGTGAGGATGCCCCCCCCCCAATACAAACATCGCATCAGTTAAATCTGAAGTGGTCAAGGGCGTGCCGGACCACACGGGTAAGCTAGTCAAAGCAGTGGCAGGTCAACAATCGGCGACAAACATTCAAGCGCGAGGCGATGCGCGCGGTGTTCTACATGGCAGGGGCGACCACTACGATCTAGGATTCTGAATCCATGGCAGACTGGGACAGAGCTGTCGGCTCAACCTTCCTGGTGGCCAGCACGACAGCGAAAGTGGCCGTGGAAGGACGTATTGCAACCCCGCGGAGTGGAAGATTGTTGGTGCCACCCCGTCGCGCATATCACTACGCAGTTCTTGGGCGACGTGGGCGCGGGCACAAGGAAGACGCAGGCGGCCAGGCGTGCGCCCAAGGATGCGGGTGGGTCATGGAGGCAATTTGCAGATGACACAATTGAAGGAGGGATGTCTTGTGTCTTTATTGGGTTTGACTAGTCGCCAGAGCAAGTCAAAACGGAAATTCAAACGAAAACTCTCGCCCAGCACCTTCGAGAACGGAAACCGCTTGTTCGTTTCCGTCACGGTCGTGCCCGTGCCATTGCATTCCCCGGTGGGGCCCCCAGTGTACAATTACAAATTGGAACAGAGCGCGATGACAAGTCGCGCCTTTATTGGAACTGCGGTATGGTCGACAAGTACAACGTGGACAAGGATGAGGTGCTTGCGGCTTCCAGTGCTCGTTCCGATGTAGATGGGTTGGCCCTGTGGCAGATTTAGCAGCAAGTGGCGTGAGGATTACCGTAGTCGTCCATTATCAGATATACAGTGCTCGGCTCGGAACACGCGTGCTCTTCTCCACTTCAACCAGAAGATCGCCAACATAAAGGTGGCAGAATTGTATGATTTTGTTGTAACCAAAGTATCATTGCAATGCAGGAGGTGCAAGGCACGGGGCCTGCGATGAAGAAAAGGATGAAGGCAGCATGCTTCGCGTCCCTTCCTGTGCACGACGCTGGTGGAACGGCCGTTCTCTTGCCGCAGATCTCTCAAGCCGAAGTTGACGAAGCTGTGAAGGAAGAGAGGGTGCGCTACGCGGATACCGTACGTGGTCGGTAGCAACGCTTATCGATCAAAGCCCGCGGCAATGCCGACCACCCCGACGCAATTCTGCTCGCGCACAACACTCCGCAACCTCGGCCTGACGCGAAAGCAAGTGGCGAGTGCATCGGCGCGAATTTCAGTGGAAGCAGGGTATGATGCGCAAGGTCCATATCGAACGACGGCGGCGACAGTAATGGGGGATTGCAGTTATCATGAAGTGGCCCCGATGCACCTACATGTACCTGCAACTTGCACAGGGCTCTTTCTTCCACCGATGCAGCGAGAGTTTGGCGATCTCTGGGCGGCCGCGCTCGCCCGCGCACTTCATTCGTGAGGATCAGGTCCTGACCCAGCTAGACAAGGTGCTCATCAGTACGCCAGGGTGGTTGCTACTGCAATGGTCGCTATGCGCGTCGGTTCCACAATTTCCAGAACCGCTCTACAGTCAGGATGTGTCGGACCACGCGCCGGCGCCAACGGGGGCCAGAAGCCGCGCGAGGGCCAGGCTGTCCCGCGCTTCGCGCGTCAGGGTCCTGAGCGCAAACAATACTTGATTCTCCTTGTCTCTCGCCCCGCCTTCCACTCTCTTCCCGCGATGGCGAAGCGGAAAGAATATGAGCGCAATCTCAGGAAGGCAGCGCGTTTGCTTAGAAACAGGTTGGCGAGCGCCAGCGACTCCCCTTTCGAGGCGAAGCTAGTCGTTGTTCGATTGATTTCCAGAGCTGTTCATGCAAACGATGTTTGGCTCGCTCGAATATTATTCAAGGTTGCGGCGGAGTTTTTGGATATCTCTCCAGGGGACGTGGCTTCGATTTCCTGGCCCATGAATTCATGCGACAGTATCAGCGCACCAGGGGATTGTAGATGACCGCTTGGATCTAATGGAGATGGCTTCAAAGGATGCCGAGAAGAACAGCATTAGAGCTTATATGAAAGCAGAGGGGCGGGTGGGCAAGTTCTGGGCGCCGACGGGGGAAGACCATCCCCCCCCCCAGGCTTGGGTCGACCCTGCCAGCGAGGTTCTTGCGTCCCCGTCGGGGATGGACTGGTCATCGGTCTCGCCGCCCGCGGCTAGATCAATTGCCCAGGTCATCCGCGTTGCTGAACCCACTGCCCAAGGGCCCGACGGTTTGCCTTGCGCGGCTTGGCAACACAATCCGCTTTCCCAGGCGATTGCTGATGAGCTCTTGATAGAGCAGCTCGGTGGTTATCCCCACCAGTCTGTATGAATGAACTTCTGTTAGCGTTTGCGGCCCCAATGGTAGGCTTTACCTGCCGTCACACGCTTCGTGGCCACATCAGGAGCTTCACCGAAAACCCCAGCGGCAAGGATGACATGGGCTCGCGCGCCCCATTTCGGAGCACTTCACACGCTTCGTGGCCTCATAGGGAGTCCCGCCACGGGCCTCAGTGGTAAGGTTTACATGCGCCCACGCCACCCATCTCGGCACACCTCCCACATGTTCCGTGAGGAGCTCGACCGAAGGCCCCAGTGGCAGGTTTTACATGCGCCCTTGCGCCCCGTTTCGGCACACCTCACACGCTTCGTGGCCCCATAGGGGGCCCCCCCCGAAGGCCTCAGTGGCAGGGTTCGCATGCCTCCGCCCGGCCCATTCCGGCACACCCTCGGGGGCTCCACCGAGGGCTCCAGTGGCACGGTTTACACGCGCCCGCGCGATCCAATTCTCTCACGCCCCTCAAACGCTTCGTGGCCACCTAGGGAGCTCTGGGTTCGCATGCGTCCGCACCATCAATTTCGCCACACCCCTCACACGCTTCGTGGCCCCACGGGGAGCTCCGCGGACTGCCCGAGTGGCAGGGTTCGCATGCGTCCGCGCCGTCTTTTTCGGCACACCCCTCACACGCTTCGTGGCCCAATACGGAGCTCCGCCGAACACGGTATTCACAATAGAGGCACTCACAACACATGGGTGGGTTTGTCGCCATTCTAACTCATTGCAGTGCTTTTGGGAATCACAGGAGGAGGAGGAGGAGGAGGAGGAGGAGGAGGAGGAGGAGGAGGAGGAGGAGGAGGAGGAGGAGGAGGAGGAGGAAGAGGAGGAGGAGAAGCAGGAGGAGGAGGAGGAGGAGAGGGAGGAGGAGGAGGAGGAGGAGGAGCGAGCGAACCTCGGGGAATCCACCATCGTTCTGCCCTGACTACGCAACTAAGCAATCGCCTCATGCTATCATCGGGTGCAGCTGGAGTCTAAGACGGTGTATTCCAACCCAACGTGGAGGAAAAAAGTACGACTCTGCCGATCCTGCCTGTGCTCCCCATTGGGGCATAGGCCCGCGAGCACGCCCCCTAAGGCACGTCACCCTACGAGAGGCGCCCACTCGGGCGTCAGAGTCTCGCCCGCCATCACGACGTCCGCGCCCACCACGTGTACCCGGCGCGCCTCGGCCGTGGCCAGGAAGGTAGACCAGCGTGCAGGCAGGCCTTCGTCAACGTAGCTACTTACCAGCACGGCCCCAGATCGAGCCATAGTGGCTGTCTCTGCATTGATACTGCCTCGAGCTTCCAGCTCCGCCAATCTTTGAGAGCTGCTAAAAGATGCCCCCGTCTCCTATCGATGCCTCCGGCACGAGGCGCCAGAGCGGGATGAGCCACTTCGCCCGGTTCACCATCTTCGCAATCTCCCTCTCGAGCGGGCCCCTGGGTGCCGAGCCGTGCACTGCCGCCCCGCCCTCGTACAGGATCGCCTTCATGATGTGTGGGCGGCAAGCCATGGCCAACTTTGTCTCGTTCTTGAAGTTTGTGATCACCAGGCACTGCGGCTCCTGGCCCTCCTCCTTGCGCAGCACCTTCAGCCTGAAGTGGAGCACCGCCTCTGCGATGTCCTCCATGCCGCTCGAGGTGATGCGGTTTCCCCACACCTCCTGGGCCTCGAGTGCGTTGGTCTTCTCGTCGTCCTGGCCCACGTGCTGGAACGCCGCCAGGAACAAGTAAAGGTGCGGGGTGCCGCGCTTCTTGAACTGTCCTGCGAGGCGTTGGACTCCTTCATGACCTTGCTGTCGTTCTCGTATTTCTTGCACGCCGCCTGCATATCCGCGGGGAGCCCCCTCGAGAGGGGCATCATGAAGGTCACGTGCACCTCCGCCTCCAAGTCGGCCACTGCGCGAGCCTGCGCTAGCGTCAAGCGCCCGATGGCCGTCAGCAGCTTCATCAGGTCGTCCTGCTTGCCCTTCTTGTCCTTCTTAGCGACGTTGCCCTCGCCCCCTGTCGCCCCCTTGTTGTCGCCTGCCCCCTGGGTCGAGAGGTTGGACCACACGGCATCGCCAGCTCCATCTGTTCTAAAGGCTAGGTGTGTCGCTGGCGCCTGCCTTAACGTTGTCGGAGAATGGCTGAGTAGATGGCTACGGTGGGCGGGGTGATCCCCAGCTTCATGGCCACACACACCGGGCACTGCAGTGACGGGGGCTCCCGGAGGGTCTCATGGCTCCGCGGCGTGGACCCCAGGGTTCAATTTGTCATGTCGCCCTCGCCTGATCGCCGCCTCCAAATGACGTGCGGCCGTGATGCGAGTCTTGCTCACCTGCCGGCACCCAATGCAGATGTTCGCCAGTGTTAGCAGTACATGCGCAAGATTGTGGAGGTGGTGTTGGGTCCTGTGTTTGAGGAGGGAGGTCTGGGTAGAGAAACGAGCCCCGCATAGTTCCATATCGTCCGTCGGCACCTCACACCGATAAGCCCCGTCGTCATCAGTCCCCTCCGTCGTCAC